GCACCAAACAAAAGTAGCTTAGCTTCTCCAAGATTTGATATCTTAACTGTAGCCACTTGAGTAAAGATTTAGTTCCCAGCATGGCCAAGTTAAATAAGGCAAATTAGGGCTAAATTGATCTGCACATCTAGTGTTCATGAAAATGCATGGAGACATTTTGAATCAAAGAAAATAAATTAAAAATGTGTAATACTGGTTCATGTCCAGTGAATCTGTGTGCTTTGGAGAAGAAACATGTGGATCATTGTTGCTATGAAAACCATCTTACAAAGTAGGTTGAGTTTGGAGCTGGTTGTCGAAGTGAACCAAGAAAACTCTGGAATTCTAGAAGACATTCCCATAGGATCTACTTGGAGTTCTTGCCTCTAAATGAGGTTGAGGAAGGAAGTAGTCTCTTATAGATAGGTCTGAGAGCCATCGTGAAATCAGAGTTATTTTTAAGTAGTGAAACACAGGAGATCCACTAGCTTTTCTATCATCAGAATCTCATCTCGGGCACAAAGATACAGAACCGCAAAGAATGGGCATGTGTTATAGATCTGACAGGTTGGTAGAATTTCTGGCCTCAGTAGAAGAAATATATCTACTAAGGTCTGATTAGTGAAACAGAGTTGTATTGGGGGGAGGGGATTGGTTTTGCAGCAACTACAATTAGCTGGGTATGCTAAATGCCTTTTGGCAACAGCTAACAATGGTCCCCCTTATCTGAGAACATCTCTAAGCTACAGTAGAACCTCCCATTGCACATCTCCATTGGGCATCGTGCACACACACCAAAATATGAATAGTGCCCCCTGGAGTTGTGCACTGCAGAATCCCTGCTAATGGCCCAGTCTAGAACATATGACTGCATATGCTACATATTCTGGAGAATATGGGGCTGCATATTCTTCATAAAGAAAAGAATATAAGCAATAAGCAGAAAAAAGCAGCAGCAAACAAAAGAGTCCTTAATGAGGCTCCTGGCAATTTTTCTCTTCCTGGATACAGACCTCTTTGGAGGTCCAGCTCATTTCTGTTCTTGGGCTCCATGAGACATCCTATTCGTAAAACAAAATATGCAATTCAAAACTCACTTGAGGGGCTGGGGCTGTGGCTCAGCAGTAGTGCACTCGCCTGGCATGTTTGAGGCACTGGGTTCGATTCTCAGCACCACATATAAATAAATAAAATAAAGATCGATCAACCAATTTAAAAAAAATTCACTTGAGTGGGGCATGGTGGTGTATGCTTGTAATCCCAGCAGCTCTGGAGGCTGGGGCAAGAGGATCATGAGTTCAAAGCCACCCTCAGCTAAAGCGAGCTGCTAAGCAACTCAGTGAGACCCTGTCTCTAAATAAAACACCAAAAGGGCTGAGGATGTGGCTCAGTGGTTGAATGCCCTTGAATTTAATCCCTGGTACCCCACTTAAAAACTCACTTGAATCAGTGAACAAACAACTTTGGAGACCTAACAAAGATAAATAAAATAGTTGCCTATGGTAAAGTTGGCCTCTGTTTCTCTGAGTGTGTCCACATTTTAAATTCATGCAAGTTTCAAGGGGATCTATATGTAAACCAAGCAGGCTTTATATTATCAATTTATTTTTAAGGGCCTCTAAGAGCAAAGTGATGGCGTAATTCAGTCCCATGGTTCACATTTCTTTTTGTGGTAAAGTTCTTTAAATTCAACCTGTGTGCTACTCTCTGCAGTCTCAGCTTCTTCTATGCTGGTTCTCATCTAAGTGGATTTGGAAAAAAAAAATGCTCACCAACCACTCTGAAGAATAATTTCAAGTGCTAGACATAGAAAGAAGCAGAAATTTCAAACTTACTTGGTGCAGCCCTCTAATTTGATGAATGAGGATTCTGAAGACCGCAGAGGCTTATGTGATTTGCCCCCAGGGCCACATGTCTAATTGTGGCAGATCAGGGAATACAGCCCAGATTACAAACTACCCCAAAGCCAATTTTCATCCTAGAGAAATGTTACAGGCAAAGCCACTTGTTTTTCTGGTCGTTAATTTTAACTTCCTGGTTATATGATCTGGACAGTCTCTAACTCTGAGACACTTTAACAGGTAAACTCTTGGCAAATAATTAAATGGCTTTTCTGTTTAATTACTGACTCCACTGTATACCAGATTGTTGTTAAGATAATCTTGATAATTGTTGTACATGTCAGAATAAAGGGACTCTTCTGAATTTTGAGTTTGTAGATCTCATTAAAGGAGTGGGTAATCAAGATGCTGGTTAAATTTCAGAAGAGGAATGCCACATGAAGTTAAAATTATTCTTAACTAAAAAGGAAGAAAGAAAGAACATATATACTTATTATGTTTTAATGGTATGCTCGAGTCATGGACCAAGTTAATGTAGGAATGAAGGATAGGTGGATATGGTTCTTATTATTACCATTTAATATAAGATTCAGATATGGTTCAGAAGCACACATTCGAGGTGAGTGATCTAATCCTACTAAGTCTATAGTGCTTTTCTAACATTGCATTATTCAAAGAAAATAACAAATCCTGAACAGCCAAATGCATTATTCTTCTTTTAAAGAATTAGGTTAGGTAATTTGGACCCAATTTGATTGCTTTCAAATCAATATGAGTTATTCTATTTAAGACCCTTTTATCAGAGAAAAATATTAATGATATTTAGAGTACCAGGGGTCAGTGGGAAATATAGAAAAGAAACAGGATTGTTAGTGGTGGTGTGGTATATGTGCATGCTTAGCTGGATGTTACATGGATGGTGCCCTTCTGTAAGAGATGGGCACATCAGCTGACTCCATCATGGCTCCAATTCAGTGGCAAGAATGGAATTTCTAAATAATAGCCAGCATAGTGGAAGAGAAGAAAAGAAATGATATGATTCTAGAACACTTATCCTGAAAACAAAACAACAGAAAGGTATTATCTCCAAATCACAGTTAGAATACTATATGTGGCAGAATCATCTCATGTACTCCATATACCAGGACTGTATGTATTATACACTCTGCATTGTCGTCTTTCACTGGATCCTTGTCAACGGATAATGGGAAATAAGCACAAGTCAAGGTGACTTGAAGCTTTCCTTTGAGTAGCTTTTCTCTATAAGAAACTCCTGACAAGGAAATCCTCAGTGACACCATAGCAGCGCTCACTGTCCACTGTCCAGTGAGAGCAGCCTCAAATGTGCTGCTGAATTCAGCCTTCCTCCCTCTTCAAGGTGGTGGTACTATGCAATGGGTTGGCTCTTCCGCCTGCTTCAGCCAACCTGTGCTACTTGCACCTCAGAGAATAAGTGATGCTTTCTTACTGCTCTTGCTTCCATCTGCCCTTCTTTTTGCCTTCACCACCAAACCTCCCACCATACACACACGTGCACACACAAGTGCACATGGATCACTTATCCTCCCGGTCTCAGCTCAGTCATTACCATTTCTCAGAAAGCTCTTCAGAATCTTTAAGTCTGTGTGTGGAAGCCCTCTTAGATTTGCTTGCACTAGTCTCAGGGTATCAGTCAGCTCATGCTATTCAAATATATAGCCATGAAATTCCAGTGAAATAAAACAACAAGCATTAACTTCTCACTCTATCCATCCGCATGTTGATTGGAACTGCCCTTGTTCCACTCGTGGTGATGCTTAAGTTCAAGGACTGATACCCAACCTGTCAAACCCATTTCAAACCTCTGCTTGTATCTCATTGGTCAAGGCAGACTACATGGCCAATTCTAGAACCAAGAGAGCGGAAGTACATTCTATCACTACAAGGCCATAGGGAGAATAGTTGTCTATTATTGCAGAAGTGAGGAGTTGAGATCAATAATTCAGCTCCCCACCTATATTAGCAGCACCTATTATAATGTATTGTCATTGTCTGTAGAAAGTTTCCCTCTAGACAGTTACCTTCTTTTTAATTTTTTAAAATTCTAATTTATTTGTTAACTGATGTATAACTGATACCTTCTTAAAATCTGGGGTTTTGTTTTTTCATCTTTGCTTTTTAATATAATTTATAATATGCACTTGAAAACATTTGAATGGAATGAGTAACTGAATGAATGAATGAATGAATTGAAGACAGGAGTACCATACAAGGGTCTGTCTCCCATCTTTCATAATGCCTTTCCTATGTGTCCACTGAATAGTCTAACAATGGTTACCAAAATGAGAGCACAAAAACCCAATATTGAGAAGACCTGATTCTACTAGGGTGAAGAATGCGGAAGACTTGCATCTGTAAGTCACTTGACCTACTTTGGCCCATGTCCTGGATTGCCAGTGACAGCCTCTCCGGAAAGAGGTATTATGTCTAACCTGGTTGGGTCACAAGATTCTGCAATGCCCCTGGCTAAAGTGGTGGGGCTCTAGAATACAGTTTTTTTTTTTTTTTAAATATTTCAGAATCCTATCTGCTGCTCAGTAATTTGATTTACAGAAAACAGGAAATGGAACACATTTCTAAGCAAATACTTCTCTGATTACTTGCACATGCAAATTCATGAACTAAGTTTAGAAATGTAATTAAGCATCTAGTTATTTTTGAGCCCGCACTCACAGGCCAAATCAGATGCCCAGAGGAGGCACATGGTTGACTTATTTTTGTGTGTTTGATTGCATTCTCAGCTCTAGGCTCTCACCTGAAAAAAGTACACTGAATCACAGATTTCAATGACCCAATTGGGGTCCTAAAGAACAAGGTAAGTCAAGGGCATACCTAGTTTTGTAACTTTAAAGAATTCATATGGTCAGAATCCTGCTTCTCTGAGAAAAGAAATGCATGATGAGGATCGCTTCTTAGTAAATGGAAAATAAAGGCAAAGGAAGCATCATTTTCAGCAGCCGTTACTCCTGTAATGAATGATTTACAGTCTGCTGGCCAAAGCCAACACTGATTTCCCATGTTGCAATTAGTTTTTTTTTTTTTTAATGTATGTTCATGATCCATATAAAAACTTGAATGTCATGCAATTTTGTGCCAAATGACATGCTCAAGTGCCAATTTTACACATGCAAAACAGATGAGTGGTTTGGAAAGTTCGTATTTATTGTCACTTTGCAAGCAACTTGCAACACCCCCTCACCTCCTTATTACAGTGGCTGATTATTCAAAGAACTTTTTGCTTCTCCTAAAAGCATCATTTGCTTGAGAGTTTCTTCACAGAACACCCACTTAACAACACTGACATCTTAAGCGGGGATTGGTGACTGTGAGCTTGTAAATGAGAACTGTGATGTAGCCCAGACCCTTCTGTGGGTACTGATGGTCTAATTGGCCAGGGTTTCTTATACCAACGTTATGGGAAAAGGCCTCTCAGGCTAAGCCAGGGAACTCAGAGAATGTCTATGTTACCTGTTCTTTTCCTCTCTACTCTACCTCTCCCATTTGTTTCTCTATCCTAAGTTTCCCATGGCTGATGATTTCAGAGTCTGTTCTGTGCTAATGGGGAAAATTGGGCCTCTATTCTTAGGGGATTGTAGATCCCATGATGTATGTTTGGGCTACCTTTAATTAGTCCCATTCCATGAGAACATATGTCAGGCCAGGTACTATGCTCACAAACTAATATATTTGCACCTCAGGAACAACTATAACAGACTACAAGCTAGACATTATCATCTCCATTTTGCAGATGAGGTGAAACAGCTTTTCTTAGTCCCAAGCAAACAGGAGAGGTGGTATTCAAATTCATGCCAATCTGACTGCAAATGCCAGGATCTCAATCTGGGATCTTTAAGATTCATATAAGACTCTTCTATTGCTGTGGATATAAGGCCCCAGCCCACTTTTGAATAAAAAAAATCTTGTTAATATTGATTTTCTTATAAGACATTTAATTTCTTCACTGTGAATATCACTGCATCTGAAAAAAAAAAAAGCAATTAAGTCAATTTGGCTGAGACATTATTTGCTGAATCCTCACTTTTCCCCGAATATCAAAACTAAAATTGTGAATCCTTCCTTGCTTCTACTGCCACACCAGGTAAAAAGAGTACAAACATGTTGAAATCTTACATTCTGCTATCCATTGTATTTTAATAGACAACAGTGAGTAATATGAGAGCCTCAGGTTGTAATCATTGTATTTGTAAAGCACATACAGCTCAAAAACATCAAGAGGTGTGCTAAGCCTTTGGTGAGTTATTCCTAGTGCATTGGAAGTGACACTGTGATCAGAAAAAACATAAAATCCACAACTTTTCAAACATGATATTATTTTAGACAAGAAAGCTGCATGCTCAGTTTGCAGTGGATACATCATTCCATCCATCATGGCCGCATGTCTACCATAAGGATTCCTGGAGTTCCCAAAGTAGGGGATCAGTGGATAGTAGATCCTGGCCATATAGCCCACCAATATGCTAGGAGGATTTACTGAGATGGGAATGATGGTGACTGCTCTTCCAAAAGCTTTTGGAGTCACTGAAACTCTACCTGTGTGTTGGTAACCTACGCATATCAAATGAAAACTACAGGCCAGTCTCTTTTTACTGAGTAAAAGTTGCAGAAGCCAGAGTTTACATCTGGTTTTCCTTATTTGAGTAGCCCTCGAATAAATTGACATAGCATAAATATCTATTGAATGAAAAATATATTATGAAAATTCTGTGTTTTTCACCTGATGTAAAGAGGTGAATCATAAAAAGTATCACAATTCACTGATAGAATACTCACTGTCTTGGTTTGAGTGTTTTTGTGTTCCCTCCCAAATTCATATTGAAACTTCATCCCACTAGTATTAACAGTTGGGGTTTTTAAGAGATCATAAAGGCTCTGCCTTCAGGCATTAATTCCCTTATAGAAAGTCTTGAGAAAATAACGAGACTGTTTTTTATCTTCGATTCTTCTGCCATGCGAGGACCCAGCACTCATCTCCTCCAGAGAACACAGCATTCAAGGTTTTATCTTGGAAGCAGAGACCAAGGTCTTACCAGACACAGAAGCTGCTGGCACCTTCATCTTGGACTTCCCAGCCTGTGAGCAATAAATTTATTCTGAACAATAAATTTTATCCCAAGATGTTTTGTTACAGCAACACAAATGGCCTAAGACACTCACCAACTAGTACCTGTCCTGATCTGTTTTCTTTGTGCTAACAACAACAAAGTAGGAGAATTAATACCAAAGAATTCATTAAACTGAAAATATTCCAGTTAAACAAGTATCCCAAGGACACAGACTCAGACAGGTTAATCTGATTGCCCACTGTGCAGCAGTGGCCCAGGTTTGCCATCTTTAGGAAACACTGTTGTGCTAGGGAGTTGTTGGGAGCAGAGGGGCAAGAGTTCCATCCCAGTGTGATTTTTGTCAAGAAAGAGGCTCAATCCAATCAGCATTATTCCCATGACCTTCCTCAACTTCAGCTGAAAGGAACTTTATTATTAAAGGTGTGAGTCAATATTTAACATCATGTTATCCCTTTCCTGATCTCAGAACCAATTCAGAAATAGATATGGGATTCAGATTAGAAATACCAAAATACCAGTGTTCCCAGTGATAATTCTGTTTGGAGAATGTAATCTTGGAACAAAATGTGAACTTGGGAAGTGCATCAATCCCCCTGAATTAGGAAGACGTGCTCACTGGGTCACAGGCCACCCTGGACAACTGCCACTCCATACTAGGGCCAGAGATGGCCTGCTCTGTTACCTCTACAGCCAAGAGACAAACAGAATGTATACTCTGCAGAAACAGCAGTGTCCCATGTGTCCCAATTCTTCTGTGCCCCAGATACCAGGAAGAGCCAGATTGTTCCTGTACTAGGAACTTCCCAGCATGGAAACACAAAGTGTAGGTGACATAAGCATTCTTTTCTTTTGGAAACTATCTCTTTACAGGTGCCTTAGAATTATAGAACTGACTGACAGTTGCTCAAATAACATTACATTATTCCTGCAAAGCATTGTAAAACTGTTTAATTTATAATCTATTTCAATGAATATTTCTTGAATGCCTGCAAAGGTCAAGGTGCTATAGCCTTTCTGGGGTAGCTGATAAAGTTACATCCATCAGATGATCCTCTAGCAAACATGAGAGTCACATGCAGCATCCCAGGAAGGGAGCCTTCTACTTTCCTGGCTGGTGGGTCACTGTCAGGTATGAGAGAGGAATGGATTAGCATGAAAGAAAGTAGGGGAAAAAATCACATATGGGTTCCTACACATTACTCTCTCTCTGAACTAATCATCAGTCGTGGACAAAGAGGGCAGTGGAGAAAAAGAGGCAGAAAAGCTAGAGAGAAAGAGAGAAAAATAAATAGACCAGAAAGGAAACTACCTGTAATCTATAATTCCTGGGGGATCACAGTTCTGTTTCTCAGTTACAAGCACCCAGAGACATGAAGGTCAACACTTATATTGAGGCTACTGTGGTTTATCTTTTTCTTTTTAACCATTACCCTTCTACAAGAGATCACCAATTCTGGGGAGGATTATTGGCTCTTCTGGGTTTTAATACTTGTCTCTTTTTGCAGACTTTGGTTCTTGGTTTGAAGGACAAAACGCAAAGTGATCAGTGCCTTCCCTGTTAGCGGGTATAGAGGACTGTACTCACCATTACATTGCCACCTCGGCAGCTTGGTGTCTGTGTGTCATCTGTGAGCCACTCTTACCTGGAAGAAGGTCCTTCAACCTGAAGGGAGAGGGACTTATCCACGGCTCTAGAGTGACACACTCCTCTGCTGAGGACTTCTCTGTGGCATCTGTGGTTGTGGAATGGGTCACGATCCTCTCTGATTGAGGCAACTCTATTACTGAAGCATCTACTACCATAGAGGAAGTCGCACTTCTTTGTAACAGGAAATGAAGGAGCATTCAGGCAGAAGGGGTGTAAACGTGCAAGAAGCACCACACCCTGACAGGAGAAGCCCTGGTACAGCGGTTTCTTGTAAGCCATCAACTGCTCCTGTAAGCTGTCAACTGCTCCTTTGTCTTCTGGACAAAGCACTATTTCCTGCAAGAGTCACATCCCAGCACCCCAAGGCCAAATACCTGTAAGGATCCTGCAATAGAAAGGAATAATAGAAATGCCTCAACCTCTTCCTGGTGTTCATTCAACTGTGGAAGAGAATATATGTCTTACTTGGTTAAAGCTAAGCATGATTTTTCTAAAGCAAACTATAAATCATGAGTGCACTCCTCATATAGACTTCCAATTTCCTATTGCTAAGAATCAGTGAGATAAAAAGAATTATCTCTATTTTGGCCTCTTCTTTGGATACCCAAGTCCCACTGTTCCTTTTCCAAATCCCAGATTTCTTTTCTCATATCAAATTTATCCCTGTGCATCAGGGCTTTTGTTAAAATTGGTAAAAACATGCTAATCTCACCTTGTGAGCTGGAAGTTTGAGCTTGGTCAAGTTCAGAGTATGCTCAGTCACACTGGTGAGGACTGTTGCCCATGTGTCCTTCAAAACGCTTCTCTGAGTTAGGGGGTACAGAGGATTGGTTTCCCAGTGGGTATATATGGTCTATCCTATAGCTTTACCTCTTCCTCTGACTGAGCACCCCACACTCCAGCATGCTGCTCTGTGCTCAGCTCTGATTCCATGAGAAGCATATCTTTTTGATGATGACGAAACTGAGGAAGGCTTCCCCACAGTACAGAAACAAGAACAGCAGTGCACTGCCCCGGTCACATGAGCAGAAATTCCTCCTGGCCATAGATGCATAGGGGGTTTCTGGTAACTGTTTTGTCTTCTGAACTATGGGCTATAAGAACTTGGAGCAAAAATATGAAGAAAACATGGAGCTGAAGCATTTCAGTAGATTGAGAAAATCCATCAAAATGTAAGACCAATGGTGGGTCAGAAACATCAGAAAAACTTAGGAAGCTACTGAGGAAGACTGCAGCACATGGACAGTGTGACCTGGTTACTCCAGCAGAGTGAGATGCATTCCCAGTGTCCTCCCATTTCAGAGGTGGGTCAGGCATTGGGATTCTTGAAAGATGACAAGATTGCGTGTATAGAAAAATCTGTGGGTGCACAACTATGAGAACTAATTAGTGAATTTACCAAGGTCAACATGCAAAAAAAAATCAATTCTATTCCTATATTACAGCAATAGACAATTAGAAAACAAAATTTTAAAATACCATTTGCAGTAGTATCAAAAATGTCAAATACTTAGGAAAAGTCTTTAAGAGATATAATAAAAAGCTATAAAATATAATAAAAAGCTATAAAACATTACTGTGAGAAACTAAGGCAGATAAAATGGGAAGACATACCATGCTCATGAATTAAGAGTCAGTGTCCATTCTCCCCAGGCTTATTTGCAGACTTAATAAAATCTTTATCAAAATTCCAGCAGCTTTTTAAAAGAGAAATTTACAAACTAATACTAAAATTGATTTGGAAAAACAATCTTGAAAAAGAATCAAGTTAGAAAACTTAAAATACCACTGATCTAACAAGAACAACTTAAAGAAAGAAAAGTTTATTTTGGCTCATGGTTTCAGAGGTGCAGTCTGTGGGTTGGCTGACTCCATAGCTCTAGGCCCAAGATGAGGTAGAATATCATGGAGGAGGAGTGTGGTGGAGAAAAGTGGCTCAGGACATCACTAGAAAGCAGAGAAAGAGATTAAGCTCAGCTCATCAAGTGTATACCCCAAAGGCACACCCACAATGATCCACCTCCTCCAGCCACACCTTACCAGTCTACAGTTACCACTTGGTTAAACCCTATTAGGGAATTAATTCACTGATTGGGTTAAGACTTTCATAATGCAATCATTTTACCTCTAAACCTTCTTTCATTGTCTCACACATGAGTTTTTGGGGTACACCTAATATCTGAACTATAACAATGACAATACCAAAAGTTGAAGGGTATGTGAAGAAACTATACCCTTAAGCATTGCTGGTAGAAATGGAAATGGTATAGCCACTTAAGAAAATAGTTTGCCAGACTTTTATTAATCATTATGTCTCTATCTTTCAACCCAGCAATTTCAATATTTCCAAAAATAAGTGAAGGTATAATAATTTAACTGTGTAAAGGCTTTCTAGTGGACTTATGCAAATTATATATCAATTTAAAAAAAAAACAAATACATATGGTGAATAGAGCTATATAACTAACTACATAAGCTAAAGTTCATTTATTCAACAAACACTTATCAACAACCTTTTATGTACCAAGCACCCTGCTAATCTCTGGGAATACTAAGCTCTACCAGACCTGATTCTAGCACTGAAGAACACACTGATTCTTGGGTGGGGGGACGCACAAAGGATTCCAACATGTTGGAACAAGTACTTTAATCCAGCTACAGAGCAGAGAGTGAGTGCAATGTTCCAGAATGAGATAATGGTCCCTTGTGTGACCATTGCTTGGGGAGAGGGTAGAAATTTTTTGTTTTTTCTGTTTGGGACAAAGGGTGACATTCTAGCAGGTATGAGGGGTTGAAGTAACAGTTCCCCATAACTTTAGGACAAAGTATTTTTTCACAGAGGGAGACTAGGGAGATCTTTTAATCTCAAGAATAAGCATTAAAAGGTCAAATACTTGATGAGCAATAGGGTTAGAGGGAAGCAGCGCTCTCAAGTCAAGGTCCCTACGCCATGCTGCAGAGTTGCCCACAGAACACCCCAGAGGATGTGGCTTGCAGGTCACACCCCTTGGGTCCATGACAACCCTGACAAAGAATGTAGGGCCCCAACAACAACAACAACAGAAACTGTTCTGTTTAAAGCCATTTAAGAGCCTTCTGGGGAAAACACCACCACAGTCCAGCTAGCCACGGCTTGCAATGTGTGTGGGTGGGTTCCTGCTTTTCCCTGCTTTTCCTTTTTTGTTTGTTTGTTTGTTCTCTTGAGCTTTCCCCAAATCCCAGATCTGTTCAAAAGATAGTGAAAGGCCAGGTACAGTTTGCTTGCTGACAAAGCAGAAGAATAGGCACCTGACTGCAAGTCTCCAAGACAGCCCTGGGAGCCTTTCTCCGAGTGTCCCTTCAAAGTTCCAGCTCCTGCAGGACTGCCTGTGACTCTCAACAAATGGAGAGAGAGGTAGCTGCAGGGGAAGCTCTGACAGGACCTTTCTAGGCACAACTGTATCAGTTTCGTACGGCTGCTTTAACAAGTTGCCAGAGATTTAGTGGCTTAAAACATCACAAATATATTATCCTAAGTTCTAGAGATAAAAATATCCAAAATGGATCTGTAGGGTTTTTTCTGGGAGGCTTCAGAAAATAATCTATTTCCTTTCCCTTTCCAGCTTTCAAAAGCAGCCCATATCTTTTGACTCCCCCTCCACCATTGCAGCCAGCATCTACAAATCTCTTCCTCTCTGTTCTGCTCTGTCACCATACCACCTTCTGTCTGACTCTCACTCCTTCTCTCTTATAAGGACCCCTGGGTTTGCACTGAACCCAGTCAGATAATCTAGAATAATCTCCTGTCTCAAGAGCCTTACCTTGATCATATCTGCAAAGCCTATTTTGCTACATAAAGTAACACAGGTTCCAAGGCTTAAGATCCAGATATCTTTGGCGGGGCCCTTCAGCCTACCACAAGAAGTCTAAGCCAATCTTAGCTCCAAACTATAATAGCAAGATCATCTAGCACTGAGTGCTTACCATGTGGTTATAAATAGAAATAGTGACATAAATATAAATACATAGATATGAAGAGGTAATCTATATAGGTATATATCTATAAATTTAAATCCATAGATTACACACACACACACACACACACACCACATATTTTTTCACCATAGACTTGAAAATAATTCTGTTTTATAAATGAGGAAACAAAAGCCTATGGAATTCAAAAAACAAAAATAAAACATTGTACAACTGTTAGTCAAAGCAGGTTTAGATGACTTCAAAGCAAATGCTCTTGACATCTTTGTCTCCCATTTCCGTTCCACGTTTTAGTGAGAAATCCAGACTATAAATGCTTGCATGTAACATCTCCAACCTAATTTCTTTCCTCCAAGGTAAGTCTGGAGAAGCCGCCATATGTGGGGTAGAAGAATGGGTTATTCTCAGCTGGCCACACTTGTAGAAGGCACACAGAATGATCCCCTTTCCCCAGTAAACAAACTTGTTTATTGCTTATCCATAAAACCTTGCTTCTTTTTTTGCTTTGCTTTCCTCCATGTTCTCGCTTTTCCTCACTTTCCCCCATCTCATGGTGGGTGTGTTCCCAGGCAGAACCATTTACCGTCCTAAAAACTGTTCCTCATTTCAAAAATCCATTTCTTCATATGATCCATGGCAAATTATTTAAACATTGGAAAGGGAAGCCCAGACCAGAAATATTGCAGAAAAGGAAAAGAATCTGGGGACTAAAAAACATAAATACATCAAATCATAGCTTTAAAACAAACACTTAGAAATCAGTATCCCATGAAACAAAAGCAAGCGAAGATTCACTTTAACAATGTTATCTGGATAGCACCCTTCTCTGTTTTCTTCAGCGGGTTTTATTTTTAAATATTTTAATGTGTGGATTAAATCAGAATAATTAAATTTTAGAAGACAGAATCCCTTTCAGAGAAAAGCCTTAAATAGCATTTGCTGTTGATTCTTGTTTGTGAGAATCTGTTCATCTCCATTTTAGTCAATATTGCCCTTTTAAGCCTCTCACTGAAGACAGCAATGAAATATGTTCCTGAGTTTTATAAGCCTCTGTCACTGCCAAATCATGTGCTTTGGGAATTCTGGGTCATAATGCATAGAATGTTTTTATTACTGCCTTCTCAACAAATGGCTTTTTGTATAACAAATGGCTCATAAGTATTTATTGATAAATATGGCCATAGTAAAGTCTGGATCATGAGTACATGAATTGAATTGGGAAAATCTAGGACTGTAGGTACAGGAAGGTAACAAATCAAGTTTCCAGGGACCATGACCTAGACCACCATAAATTCATGGAAGACCACCTTGAGTGCCTCCTGGCTGTCAGACAG